AGAACAGAAATGTCGACAGGTCTACCAACGACGGAGCATGCAACAGCATTAATGATAACACGCTGAAACTCAGCACCATGATTACGACAACGGTACTCGACTCCCTCGGGAAACTTGGGTCTCACAGCTCAAGGTCCTTGGACGCAACAGTGGTTACCAAAAACTCTGTAAGTAATCGGACCCATGTCAAAAGAGCTTAAAAGGGCCTAAGTTGAACATCCCAGCTGTTGAACGGAAGTCAACTGGTCATCTGTTAGCACAGACTATCCCCAAGATTGTCCGTCCGGTCATCAAAGAGCCAAGGATTCATAAACGTGCTTCGACCCCCAAACAACAATGTGCTAAACTTGAACGCACCGGAAAACCTGGAACGACAATAACGGTTCGTGATGACTCTCTCATAGTCATGAACTTCAAAGACAACCCTGACCTTCCTCTCAGTTTGCAGGACAAAAATGATAGGATGCTCCGGGAAGAACTGAACAAGAAACTTGGGCTTCCAAGAATAGAGCCTTTGACAGTCACACGGCTCACTTGGGGAAAGGAATCTAAGCATCAAAATCACCCGAGGTTACTTCGTGTAACACTTAAGAATGCTACCGACGTAGAGGATGTCTTACTAGCGAGTCATTTACTGAAGTCAGATGGGAATGTAAGAATACTGCCTGACATACCGTATTCTGAGCGCAATCTCATCCGGAACATCCCCAAAGAAACTCGCGATCAGTTTTTCCGCTGGAGGAAAATAATCGTGCAAGGTATACCAGAAAATACGGACCCTAATCCATCAAACTCTGACATCAGGGAATGGAAATTCATCAAACAGTTCTTGAGACTCAAACACATACTGACTCAGCATGTGACGAGACTAGCCAAGAAGGATGGTGATTCTAGACCCCGTCTAATGAAGATAACCTTCCCATCTTCCCATATGGCGGCTGCAACTCTGGAAGCATTTCGTGCCAACAGACGTCGGTTGCCACTTGGAATCTACATGCACCCGGACAGGCCATACGAAGCTAGGACCGAACACAAAGGCAAGTTGGAGCTGATCATTCCACTTGTGGACTGTTTAGACGATAAAAAAACGTGTAAAGGACAGGGCCTACCACCTCGGCAAACCTCATATAGGTGGGCTACCTGTCCATTCACGTAAGGCTCATACAGACAAAAAGGAAGAAGCTCGCGCGTTCCGAATTGAAAGCATAAACTGCTTATATAAGAACGCCGAGAGTCTACTAAACAAACTGGATGAACTACGTGAACTTAGCGACGTCAATAAGGCCCATCTGATAGGAATATCTGAAACCTGGATATCTTCTCAGTTCTCGGACCAAGAGTTAGCATTACCTGGTATGTCTTTGTTCCGCAACGACAGAATATTAGGAATTGGGGGAGGAGTAGCTGTTTGCATACGTTCTTGCTTGGAGGTGCATCAAGTTCATAACCTCGAGTTTAACAATCTTGAGGAATCTATATGGTGCTCTGTAAGATTGTCCAGTACTTCGAGGTGTCTAGTCGGAGTCATTTACAGGAAGCCAACTGCCGACATCAAGTACGATGGTCGTATGCTGGAAAAACTATCCCGCTCTACTCGTCTCGGTTTCACACATATCCTGATTCTGGAGGACTTTAATCTCCCTAGAGTCAACTTCGCGGAACACACGCATACTGGAGGCGACAACTCAATTGAAGCTCGGTTTTTTAACCTCACTGATGACTTGGGATTGTTCGAAAATGTGAGGTCGTATTAAGCAAGAGCATTTTAACAGGTTAGAGAAAATAAGTGTAAACAAGGTGTGAGTGGATAAACAACTGATAAATTGAGGTGGTGAGTAAGAAGCTGAGAGTGTGGGATTACGTGAATTTATAAAATATAGTGCTAAAAACAGTATTATGATACACAAATGGCTGTCTCCCTTTTTTGTCGAAGTTATCGGAGCCCTTTTTTAGATTTTACACGGTCTTGAGTAGGCTTCGTTTTTAGCGAAGTTCCTGGTATATCATAGTTTCACAACTATTAGAAAACCTTAATGGGTAGCGTGACTTCCTTATGCTCACCTCCTGCTTGTTCACACATTAAATATATGCCTAAAAATCTGTCACTCCTGATGAACACGTGATTTACACTGAGAATATTTAACGCATCAAGGTGTCTGGTTAGAGTTGTTCACGGAAAAGCTACTGCTTGCTATATTCAACGAAAACTGAAGGGATGAAAAATGTCAAGATTAACTTATGGACTATCATTTTACATTTTCTTGTATAATTTTTGAGTAACTAGATTATTATATATATATTCCTTTTTTCATAAGCTTCTGATTAGCTCATTAACCACTGTTGTGAGAGGCACTCATTTCCCAAGCTTGTAGGGTGTTTTTCTCATTAAAACACTTCATAGAACATATATACAACAGACGCGCTGACTCAACTGAAGCTCTGTTGTTTAAAATCGTGAGGTTAGTAACTAGGTTGAGAAAAAGCCATACCCCGTCACGTCTAGATTGAATCTTTATGAATGAAAAAGTTCTAGTTAACGACTTCTCGATCCTAACTCCCCTGAGAAAGTGTTTGCAAAATCTCTTATAGTATTTCCTTGTATCACACGTGGAAAGATTCCTCCACGAATCCATTTACCGATAACTAGTCTCTTGTTCTTCATTTAGATGTATCGTTTCCTTGACTGCTGTCTGTACTTTCGTATGTTGACTTTCCTTTTTGTCTACCTTCAATTATTATCACCATATTGCTTACAAATTCTGGATCATGACTAACTCTTTGATATCGTTAAGTTTTTTGATGACTGTCTCGTCTGTTTTACTTAAAATTGTATTTTGGTGGCTTCAGTATTCAGTTGTTGTACTTCACTTGTTGCTGTGTGTACAAAGTGCTTCTAATTATACTAATTTATTTATAACAATCTACACAATGCTCACTTTATTCGAAATTATCAAGTCAAAACTTGGTAATTATACCTACAGACTTAATGCTTCTGTTCTATTTTACTGATGTTGAGATGCGTTCTCCGTTTATTTTCGGAACATGTACTGTTGACAATCATCGAGTGCTCATTTTTGAAGCGTACTAAATTGTCGCATACCTTTTTTTTTAGGTAAAATGTTGTTCCTTTACTAATGGGAACATTTATCTTGGGTTTTACCAAGTGTCTGTATCCGTTCGAAAGAATAATGCCAAGGTATATTTAGTTTTGCTTGTGCGCACGCTTATCCTAATGCTAAATCTCTATATTCTTGTGCGTTTATCACGCTGTTGTAAGAAAGTTGTTGTGAAATGTAACGTTCTTAGTAGGCTTAGAAATGGAAATGAGAAACTGCTTACATTTTAAACTTTCTGAAGTGTCAGATTGAAAGGACAAGTTACAATAGGTTAACTGACGGGCACATCCTCATTTTGTTGCGGACGCTCCCCAGGGTTTCGGGATGCACACGAACTTACGCGCTACCAGTCCGTCTATCCGACAAATTGTCTGTGGAGATAGGCCTTACAAGCTTATTTTATAAATAGTTTTGAATTTTATTTGTATTTATTTTGTCAATTTTCCACTGTACGTACAGTTGTCATTAAATGACTGTACGTGTTGTTTAAGCGAATGACCTTGAACACATTTTTTGTTGTGTAACCTACATAGCGTGACAGTGTTGATTGCTAACAAATACATTGCTACACATATATCCCTCGTTCTATTTTCGTTTGTGATTGAGCTAACTGAAATCTAAATCGAATATTACCTACATTTATAGACTGTGAGTGGGAATATACCATACCTTACATTGGATTACACTACTGGAGAGTCCGTCAACCTGATTGAGATTACCAAGCATTCATAATTGTGGATTTTCAGTACCAGACCAAAGCTGAACACGCATCAATTTGGTGAACTTAAGTAAAGTCCCAAATTTTTATTGTATTTGTAACAAATACTTACATATATATATATATATATATATATATATATATATATATATATATATAACGTTACTATTGATCTTTAATAACTTTGTTGATACTTTTTACGTTTATACATCGTCTGGTCCACCACAATTATTTGGTGAGCCGTGAATCCATTATAGACGTATACTGTTTGTATTTTTTTTACTTGGTACACTAGTCCATTTTGTTTTTCACACCATGCACTCTCCTAGTAAACTTATTGATATAGATAGCCCACCAACCAACCCTCTTAATTCATCACAGCCAGAAGGTAATGTTTTAAGCTCAATCAATGCTATTTCTGAGTTAAGACTACCAACATACGGGCGTTAACAACCCCAGAATTTGGTTCGCACAGGTAGAAGCACTATTTTTGGAGAGGGGTATACGTTCGCAAGCGACCAGATATGCCCACGTCGTTGGCGCATTACCTATAGAAGTAGCATTGGAAGTTGGTGACCTAATCGATAACGTACCAGAAACCGACCCTTATGACAAGACAAAAGCGGCAGTAATCCAACGCACATCACTCCCAGACGAAAAACGTTTACTACAACTGCTTACCTCATGCGAGCTAGGGGATAAGAGACCCTCACAGTTGCTTCGACAAATGAGACAGCTAGCCGGCCCACATAAACTAGACGAGGCACTACTTAAACAAATGTGGTTACAAAGGTTACCACATAATGTTAGACAAATCCTCAGTATATCAGGAACCTCTGTCACCCTTGACGATTTAGCTCACATGGCCGATAAGATGATGGAAATATATCTCGATAGTCGCGGAGTTAACGCGATACAATCCTCCAGTAGAGAAGATATGAGTCACGCACTCAACATTCAGCAACAGATAACACAGTTAACACAACAGTTAGCATAACTTCAGACGACTATTGCAACGATTCATTCTCGACCTGCTAGATCTACGTCCAGAAAAAGGTCAGTGTCCAGACAACGCCTTAGATCACCCAAGCAGGCAGCTGGCATTTGTTGGTATCATTTGAATTATGATGAGAAAGCACGTCGTTGCGCTAAACCGTGCAACTTTACGACAAACAAGCCAGATCATCAGGGAAACGAACCAGCCAGACGGTAATGGCGGCGTCTGTTACTGGCCAACACGTTAGCCGCCTCTTTCATGTCAGGGATCGTATTTCTGGCTCGGACTTTTTAGTCGACACAGGAGCAGAAATCAGCATTATCTCACTTCATCTCTCCCGAAGACAACAAACAACAAGCACTAAGCTGTCTCATAGCGGCTGACAAATCAATCATCAAAACGTACGGAGAGCAATCACTCATATTAGACATTGGACTCCGCAGACGATTCACTTGGGTTTTCATAGTTGCGCATGTCAAACAACCCATCCTCGGAGCCGATTTCCTCAGCGCCTACAACTTGTTAGTGGACATGACTAAGAAGAGACTAATTGATGTAAATACATGTTTACAGGTAGACGGTACACCTTCCACCGACTATGAAATCCATGGTGTACGAATAATGAAACCTGTGAATAACGTTTTCAACGACATTCTGACAATACGAGTGCATCACGAAAACAGGTTATCAAAAGGAATGTAACCCGCATCAGGTGCAACACTACATCACTACCACCGGTCCCCCTATTTACGCCAGGGCGAGGAGACTACCCCCAAACAAGTTGCAAGCGGCTATGATGCAACTTGGTATTATCAGGCCATCTAACAGCCCTTGGGCCTCGCCACTACATATGGTATCGAAAAAAGACCAAGACTGGCGTCCGTATGGTGACTATCGCCGATTGAACAACCAAACCATTCCCGATAAGTACCCAATTCCACATATACACGACTTTTCATTAAACCTAGGCGGTAAATGCATCTTTTCGAAACTCGACCTAGTGCGAGCATATCACCAAATTCCAAAGGCACCGGAAGACATTGAAAAAACAGCCATCATCACACCTTTTGGTTTGTTTGAGTTTCTAAGGATGCCATTCGGACTGAAAAACGCTGCTCAGACATTCCAATGCTTCATGGATGACGTTACAAGAGGCCTAGATTTCGTGTTTGCCTACATAGACGATGTTTTGATTGCAAGCTCATCTTTAGAAGAGCACATTCAACATGTCCAGATCCTCTTTGATCGTTTTAAAAAACATGGCGTTGTCATTAATCCTTCGAAATGTATATTCGCAGTCCTAGCCTCGGAGTTTTTGGGACATTACATCGACTCACAAGGTATCAAACCACTTCAGAAGAAAGTTGAAGCTATCACTAACTACCCCGAACCAACCTCTGTGAAGTCATTACGACGTTTTCTCGGGACGTGTAATTTCTATCGCCGATTCTTACCACGTTGTGCTGAAGTGTTACAGCCATTAACCAATTTTCTGAAAGCCGACTAAAAAGTTACGAAGAAAGAGAAGAATCAAACATTCAACCTACCTCCTGACGTCAAAACGGCATTTGAAAAAGCAAAGTCGATGATAGCTAATACCATTCGAAGTATTTGTTACAAATACAATAAAAATTTGGGACTTTACTTAAGTTCACCAAATTGATGCGTGTTCAGCTTTGGTCTGGTACTGAAAATCCACAATTATGAATGCTTGGTAATCCCAATCAGGTTGGCGGACTCTCCAGTAGTGTAATCCAATGTAAGGTATGGTATATTCCCACTCACAGTCTTTGATTGTTGGTGTTAAGTTTGCCATACTTAGTTCCTACTTGTTCTATTTCTACTCTTTTGTATATGTCTTATACTACTTATTTACATTGAGTAGGCAGTTGTATTACCGAAAATATTCACACTTATGTCGTAACTCAGGTTGTACTGTAACATTCTGAAATGTCCACATATATCTTTAACGTTTATTTTGTTTATCATTGTATTTATCATTATAATCACTGTGATTTAATTACTATAACGGTTATCCACAGTTTTATGCATCTGTTTAAACGCAACAGTTTCCATATTGTTTGCTCTTGGTTCGAGTTTCGGTTGTTCATAAACTGTTATCAAATTTAGACACAGCTATCGGCTGTCTTTGTACTATCGTATGTTATAATCATTCTTTATGTTACTCTCACAGGAAGCCTTTGCTATTTTCGTTCTTGAACGACGCGTTTAAACGCCTAGACACCTCACAAGTTGAGGTTTGTAACTAAATTTTGTGTATTATTTAATAAAGAACCGCTTCTGTAGACAAATCGTTGTTTTGGAACTTCGATTTTGCGCGTATCTCAATCGGGGTTATTTGGACGCTTCGATAGAATTAACAGTAGGTAATATTCGATTTAGATTTCAGTTAGCTCAATCACAAACGAAAATAGAACGAGGGATATATGTGTAGCAATGTATTTGTTAGCAATCAACACTGTCACGCTATGTAGGTTACACAACAAAAAATGTGTTCAAGGTCATTCGCTTAAACAACACGTACAGTCATTTAATGACAACTGTACGTACAGTGGAAAATTGACAAAATAAATACAAATAACATTCAAAACTATTTACAAAATAAGCTTGTAAGGCGTATCTCCACAACGTTTTCACGTTTTGATATGTATGCATCATCACGACGAAACATCTATCTTGTAATTTTTCAGGGAATCAGGTAAATGATACTAACAGTTTGTCAAGCAGTATTGTAAGCATACTGCCAATATCCATATTTTCAAAGACCATTTGACGATGAGCCGTCTCATTATGTTCCAAATATTATCCGTAATAAAACCTACAGCTGTCAATCATATGGCCATGGCAAATTGCGATTAATTAAAACAATATAGTTGGAAATGGAAAGATGGACGAGACAACGAAAGTCCAAACCCATATATAAGGTAGCAAATAACGTAGCAGCATAAAAATATATTGTGAGTGGAAAACCATATCTCGTGCGATTTATAATATCTATATTGTGCTTAAAAACATCGATTGTTAATCGGTTTGTCAATATATTTATAGCAGCCTACGTGCAATTGAGTCTGTTCACATTTGGTTTGGTTAAGCCCTCTTGCTAGCTTATTCAATGAACAGTCATTCGTATAATAACTTATCTATACCATTGTATCTTTATTATTGTTACACTTGTATGAGTATGTATGCTTGAGCATTGCTTACTGTCTACCCATATACCCATTCTGATAGTCTTACTATTAGTCGCTTAATTGATTCGGTGATTCATTCATCTCACTATGCGTGTATTCTAATCTTGTTCACTCGCTTGCCCGCTTTTTTTCGGCACTACCCTTTCATGCTTTCTAAGCGTATCTGTAATTTTCGTGATCTGTGCGTTGTGCAATAATAAACGTAATCAACACTTCGTATTCGCCTTCTGGTTAATACGCCAGTGGGGCGTTGCCTAGTGACGGTTATCATGACTGCAGAATAAAAATGACAGAATGCTTCCCAAAGTAGAGCCTTTGACGTTTACATGGCTCATTCGGAGGAATGACCCTATGCACGAACACTGACGTCGTGGGAGCTGTTCTACTCGGCAGTCACTTACTGGAATTGGATGTGGGTGCAAGAATACCGCCTGACATGTAGTATTCTAAGTTCAATAGCATCAGGAACATCCCTGAGGAATCTCATGAGACGTTTTTTCGTTGTAGTATTATCATTGTACAAAGTGTCCCAGAAAAATACGGAAACTGATCATGCAGACTATGATCTTCTACAGTGGAAATTCATAAAGAAGTGCTTGAGGCTCAAGAATATATTGATGTGATTAGCCAGGACGGACAGCGATTGTAGATCCCGGCTCGTGAAGATAACCTTCTCACCCTCTTATAAGGCGACTACCACTCCGTAACACTTTACTCCAACAGACCTCGGTTACCAACTGGAATCCACATGCATCCGCACAGGCCATATGGTGCAAGGATGAAGCACAGAGGCAAACTGGAACAACGACAAAACGTAGGGGGACAGGGCTTCCAACTCAGAATACCCTGTGTATGTAGGTTGCCTGTCCATTCACACAATGCTCATTCAGATAAACAGAACAAGGAAGCTAACGCGTTTCAAATCGGGAGCACTAACTACCTGTATACGAACCCCACGATTGTGCCGAACAAAATGAATGGGCTGAGCGGACTAAGTAATGATAGTAATACTTTTGTAGCGACCGAACAACCAATATTCGGTTGGAACAGCGAACTGACGAACCCAAAATTTATTCCATTAGACCAGACCACGTTCCTCTGTATAGCTCACAACGCGTTTTTGAGATACTCGTATTATATTATATCAAAACACAAACTCTGTGCTCAATATAAACGGTTCTCAAACGGTACAGCCTGTGCTATACAGTCAGAAGTTTCTCTAACGCAAAGTAGTGCACTGAGAATCAATACAATATTCCCAACAAGATGGGATCAAATAGCTGTCTCCAGGGATACCAGCAATCCTCCCAAGCAGACAGTCATAAGGTTCATAGTCATACACTGAACCACGCCGTGACCTTGAGCTTAGTCAAACACGACCTTACTGTCAATGGTCCGGCAACATGCAATAGAAAATTAGGTAACAAAAGATATGTCTTTAATCAAAATCACATAATTAAGGCCCAAACGAGGAAGACTGAAGAACAAAAGATACGATTAAACGAAATCGGAACAAAGGTTAAAATACACAACAAGGAGAAGGAACAAATAAACGACAGAAGGATCTTCGTCGTTTTCTTTCCGTTACAACCTTTGTGGTAGAAACGGGAATTTTCTTGAATTACTGATGACGAGCCAACAATACCCGGCATGTCTTTGTTTATCAACGGCTGCAAAACGGGGAGGGGGCGGAGCAGCCTTACAACTACGATGTTGCCTGGTGGTACACTCAAAAGTTTATCAACCTTGATTATTGTATATGGTGCTTGGTAAGATTGTCTGACACCTCGAAGTAGTCTGTTCCGAAGACGGTGTGGCTGTCCTGAGTGATGAAATTTGGGTGGCAATATGGAAACAAAAAAGTGAAAGAAAAAACCATAAGCGGCGATCACTTGATTGGCAAGTTATTGATGGGCTCCTATTCTGAATCAAGAAATACACTACCAAAGTCTGAAAGTAAGACAGAACTCCATCCAACCGTGACTGAGATAAACTTTATGACATTTAATATTATCTTAAGTAATTTGCTAAAATCAAAGGACCCTAATCACAAAACTAGATACACTCGTAATTTTAAAAATCTCGGAGAGTTTATCCATAGCATTTTGCCAGATAACTACAGAGGAGCTCATGTCAAAAATTGATAAGGATATGTAAGAGGACCAATGACTGTTGAATCCCGACTACATAGACTCCTTAAGGTAGCACTAAGGTTGGAGAAACAACATTATCTCCTGTTAGGTAGCGCTAGTAGTTTCAACAATACTGACATTCGATTAAGACCTGATATACCCCTAGAAGATAGAATGAGAAGGAAAGCGGCACTAGCTGAACTAGAAAACCGTCGACAAGTTGTTGTGGAAAACCTTCTCCCAGTGGATTTCCGAATGGTCAGATCTTGAAAGCGGAGGCTATCAAGGCCTGTGTGTACGGCTAGTTATCCCTAGGAGTTTTATATACGAATACTCGTAGTTCAAGAATTAAATTCTATGAACTAGGTGAATTAGTGGACAAATTGAGTCCATTCATTGTAGTTGTAAAGGAAACTTGGTTAGTCCACGACTCCAACATTACTCCAGAATTATCCGGATAACACTACCTAAGAAGTGATATGCATAGATGTAGGAAATGAGATGACATCCTTTTATACATAGCCAATAATATAAACATCGGCTCCTTTGCTTGCAAATCCCTTGATAGTGGAACTTGTGAAATCATTAACTGTAAGCTCACTATCGGATGTTGTACATTTATACTCGGTGTCATCTATCGCAGCCTCATTTGCTTAGTTGATGACTTTATTTTAGTGCACATTCACCTATGAAGTGCAAACGACAAGTGCTTGATATTAGAAGACTTCAATGAACTTGATATTGGTTGGACTGAGATGACCACGGAAGGATCTATAAACTCATTTGATAGTAGGTTCCTGATAACGGTAATGAAACATACATTAGTACAGCATGTATCCAAACCCACACGTTTTGGTTCAAACCAAGATTCTTCCTAATTATACTTGGTAATCACTCATGCGACTGAGGACATTGCAAATCTAAATATTCTTCCACCGCCAGCGACCACGCTGTTATTTCATTGACGTTTAGAGCTAGTGAAATGATATTTGATCAGGTTAAGCCTCACCCAAATGTATCGAGAGCTAACATATCAGTCATTCAGGAGTGTGCTGCTAAAACATATTGGTCAGCGGATGTCAGCTCATCAGTTGAAGAACCATGGTCTAAATTTAAAGGTAAGCTTAGTTCGGTTACGTCCTCATTTATACCATGCCTAGTATCACGTAGACCGGATAACTGTTGACCATGGATAACTAAACATGTCAAAAGGCTTATTAGACAAGAAAAAGGGTATTGGAATATGCTCATCCATACTGGCTTAGAACAGTACAGTTCCAGTTACTGTAAGATTATGAATACTTGTTAAGCGTTAATAAACAGTCATATGAAAAACACTTGGTTAGGAATTGCAGAAGTAGTCCGTACATAGGGAGGCGAACTCAAAGAAAAAAACTGAATCCCATCATTTTTGGTAAAAGAAAATCCGTTAATTCTGGCAAGAGATGATGCCGAGAAAGGTAAAGCTTTTTAGGAATATTTCAGTGAAACGTTTTTTATCAGCAGTGTAGAACGACCAACGATTTATTTTGGTCTGGGCTGCTATTAGACGGATTCTGTAGTTATCCAGAACGTTACTGTCGCAAGACTACTTCAACATCTCAAACCTGATACGTTCAGTGATCCTGACGATACTCATTATGAAATCCAATAGGATGTAATTGCTGAAACTATATCCATACTGTTTGAGATGAATGTGAGGCAGTCCACAATGAAAAGAGACTGGAATGAGGCAATAACTGCTCAGATGCATAAGGCAGGGAGCACAGACTTAATAAGTAAGTATTGACCACTCAATGCAACCTGCGCAAATATCACAGTAATCAAAAGGATTGTTCGGATGTCTATTATAAACCATATGGAAGGGAAATAACCTTTGTTCAGAGAACAACATGGTTTTAGGGAAGACTTATCATGCTTGACAAATCTGCTCATTGCAAGAGAAGATTGGGCTGCAGCGAAAGATAGCAATATCCCTGTAGATGTAATTTTCATAGATCCAAGTAAAGTCTTTGGCAAGGCTTCCCATTCGGGTCTTAAATTAAAACTAGAAAGTTTTGGAATCTATTATAAGGTTACAAACTGGATAAGTGACTTTCTCAGTAATAGGAGACAACGGACACGGGTAAATGGGGCTGTGTCAGTGTGGGAATCTGCAAAAAGCGGAGTTCCCCGATGTAAAATCCTCCGTCCTTTTCTTCTTTACTTTATGTAGATGACTTACCAATTGTAGCAAAGTGATTCGTTCTATTCTTTGAGGATAAAATAAAGATTTGGAGGTCCATACACAGACAGAATGATATTACGGGATGACTTAGATTCAATGATTGAGTGGATGAATAGATGGTCACTAGAAGTTAACTCCAACAAGAGTT